TATTGTCTGGTCCAGACTCGATTTTGTACAGACCGCCGTCATATAATGGAATATTGCTGAGTTCGGCAAACAAACAAACATACAAACAACCATAGGTAGTTGTATTCCCATGAGTATGGGCGGTCACCTATCTTCTGACCCTTGAACCATGACACGGTTGAATGCCTATGTTTGAATGGCCTGAGAAAGCCGACTGTTTGCCAAAGCTATTTTCCTCACAACAAGTTTTATTCGGGAGTGGATCTCAGGCGACACACTCTCTTTATCGCATCTTGAAATTCAAACCAGAAATAGAATAGGTATTCAACGCCTTGTTGGGCTTTTGTTAAAGGATTTTTAGTGTAAATTCTAATAGAATAAGTTCTGCGTTAGTCACAGCGTCAGACAGCGACGGCTATTCACTGGGTGGAGATGTTGACGTTTCTCATTATGGCTGTGTAAATAGAGGCGAAACGTAATGCTGCTTTTAACATTACGCACCACAATCTATATATCATTTATACTGCTATGTAATCACGAGCTATGTTGCCCGTGTGAATTATTTGTCACGGCGCAGCGACCTTACGTGATGCGTGTATCTAATGTCGCCGTGTGATTTTGCGATGATCTCGTTGTGTCACGGGGGACCAGTCGTTTGAGGTTTTACAATTCGCTGTGCAATTCGCTTTGGCACGCCCAAACCTATGATTATGGTTTCGAATCTCGTTCGCCGCGACTATCCTTCTGGCTTTGTCACCACCATCCCGTGCTCGTTGTAAACGCGTGGGACCTGCATTGCTTCGGGATGTACACCCATTTTAAGCTGACACGGCGTGTAATAACTGGAATACTGTTCAAAGCGGCCTTAAACCCAACTCACCCACTCACTCACTCACCCACTCACTCGTTGTCCCCTACATTTTAGTAGTTGCATACTTTTCATGGTTGACCTTTCGCGTTCAATTGCAGTTAAACATTTTCGTTCAGTTTCAGACACACTGTTTCATGGTACTGTCGACCTCAGGGCTACATTGTGTTTCACTGTTGGCCTAAAGACTACATTACACCACATTGCAGATCTGAACTATAGTTAACATTTCAGACCTCAAGACTATATTTTATTTCACCGTTGGCCTAAACACTACATTACACGATATTGCAGATCTGAACTATACTTAACATTTCAGATCTCAAGACTATATTTTATTTCACCGTTGGCCTAAACACTACATTACACGATATTGCAGATCTGAACTATAGTTAACATTTCAGACCTCAAGACTATATTTTATTTCACTGTTGGCCTAAACACTACATTACACGATATTGCAGATCTGAACTACAGTTAACATTTCAGACCTCAAGACTATATTTTATTTTACCGTTGGCCTAAACACTACATTACACGATATTGCAGATCTGAACTATAGTTAACATTTCAGACCTCAAGACTATATTTTATTTTACCGTTGGCCTAAACACTACATTACACGATATTGCAGATCTGAACTATAGTTAACATTTCAGACCTCAAGACTATATTTTATTTCACCGTTGGCCTAAACACTACATTACACGATATTGCAGATCTGAACTATAGTTAACATTTCAGACCTCAAGACTATATTTTATTTTACCGTTGGCCTAAACACTACATTACACGATATTGCAGATCTGAACTGTAGTTATCATTTCAGACCTCAAGACTATATTTTATTTCTCTGTTGGCCTAAAGACTACATTACACCACATTGCATATCTGAAGACGATATTAGATAATATTTCAGACCTCAAGACTATATTTTATTCCTCTGTTAGCCTCAAGACTACATTGTTTTACTGCCGACCTCAAGACATTTCATTTCACTTTTGACCTCAAGACTACATTAGGTGACACTGGCGACCTAAAGACGACATTAGACTCTGTCGATCTCAAAACTACATTAGACAATACTGTCGAACTCAAAGCAACATTTGATTATACTTTCGACCTATAACATATTCTATTTCTGAAAACATAATGATTGTTAGTAACCGATACTATTGCCAGTACATATGCATTCCAACACAAAGCGTATATGTTATCCTTAACGTTATGCTGAAGCTTTATCGGTCCGCTATTACTTGGGAGAATTGCGAGGGGAATTGCTAGGGGGTTAAGGGACGTAGATCTGATAACGGTAGGATAAAAAGTTATGAACACATTGTCTGATTGCATTCATGTCTCTTCGGGCAAGGCGCGTTTTCAATACAAAATACGAACAGCATAGTACTTGATGGATCAGGCGTCCGCTATCTGGGCCACGTTTGGCTGTCCTACCACATCAAACTGACATTTCGTCATAATCTGGAATACTGTTCAAAGAGGTATTAACAAGGGGAAAATGGACCAAGTTTTACAAATATATTATCAGGGTGAATGCCACAATTTCCAATCCTGAATACACGGCATGTAACGTGGTAAAATATTTGTGAAATTTAGTCCATTTTCCCCATGTTAATAGCGGCATAAACTCAACTCACTCTCAAACTGTTTGTCACATGCACTGAGGCGTGTGTGCGTGTGTGTGCGCGCGTTTACGTGAACATGCCTGTATGCATGTGTGTGTGTGTGTAAAAGTTGAGGGAATAGGTCCCCAGTACCCGCTGCCAGACGGGACGTATGGTTTGATGGCTTATAATAGCACCAGTAACGGTATTGTCAGAAACGAAGGAACATGCAAATAAAGCTGTAGTTAATGCTCCAAACACATCCACTGAAATAGTATCGATCTTTGAACAACAATAGGTTAATTACTTTTGAAAAGTTTACACATCTATAAATAACAATGTTCAAGCAGCGTGCAAAAATCCAATATTTCCAATTCACAACGTGTAATGCACATTATGTGTTATGTTCCACCAACATTCTGTGGCAATGATCCGTATTACTGTTTACCGTCATAACTATTTACTTTATTAATGTTAAAAAGTTGTTTTGCTCAGGCGCCCCCGCACGTGGTTGGTAAACTTAAGAACCACAACTCACTCACTCGTGGCCCCAACCTTGTCACAGTTCCCACCCCCACACTTGGCCATACATTGTTCTACAGGATATACTCTTTAAGGTCCCCTGAAGGAACCAAACTATGAGATATCTCGAGGGTAATTTTCTGAATGTTCTTCCCAAAACACCCCCGATGCCAAGTTCCACCGAATTCCCTTTATAACTTTACAGATTGGAGGGACATAGTTTATCACACCAGTAGGTTCAGATACACCACACAGAATTGCGATGTAAGCGTTATCATTCATAAATTCTCCGTTTAATATCTTTCCTTCCTCCCACGCATACAAGACATTCGAGGAAAAAATCAGTAATCCAATTAATAACGCTACACTTAAACGAATCAAAACGCTAGCAACCAAAAAGCAGTTATCAGACCCATCCATATATAAAATAACATCAATTTCGACAGGATCAATTGCGACCGAAACGATATGTTTGATTCCGGAACAACCTAATAGGAGTGTACATCAATGGAGATGATTACGGAAATCAGTCGAGGTAGTGAACTTGCATGCTGTGTTGGTTTGTATTAAATTTACTTCAGATACAACGATAGCTCTTCGCTTTGATTTCCACGGGGATTCAGAAGAGAGGATGCAAGTCATCTGCAACTCGACTCGTTGCCTCACCCCCGCCGTCTCTGACCTGTGTGGGAGTGTATTGTCCCCGGGGAGGGGAAGACTTACGAGTCATCAATGGGGCTCGTCCCAAGGGGATGGGGAGAAAACATGGCTATAACCATGGCTTACATCTCGTCAAACACACGCTAAGTAACGGTGAATGCTCGTGGCACGTCCGTTACACAATTACGTATAAGATCGTGCCATGTTGGAAATCACAATCCAACTTCCAAGGACTTGCTAATTTGATTATGACATCTGCAAAAATGTTTTTCTTCTAGATATAGTTTGGGACGTAAATCTGACGCCGAGTATGTCATGAAGTTAGCGAATCATGGCAGTTCATTGAATGTTTTAACTTTACTGATCTAAGAGGGTCTAGGATCATATATTATACTGACAGCGCCAGAACTATATATATATATATATATATATATATATATATACATAATCATATCACATAGTTTACTTTTGTATAACAGGAACAATAGGAGGGGAGGGGGTGGAATGGTTTGTTTTTTGTTCGATTCAAAACATACAATTATGTCCTTGGGTTCGAACACAAATTATCAGGACATCCAACATGTCCACTAAATTAAAAAAAAATAACAACAACAACAAAAACACAAATGGTCGGTCTCTAACCGTAATCTGTCAACCAAATCGTATGTTCAACAGTTATCGTTATGCACAGAGAGATATACTCAGTCTTGTAGTCGTCAATACAGAGACATTTCTGGGTGTATTTTTACATCAGAATGCGTTACTTAGTACAGAGTTGTAAACGTAAGGCCGCATAAAAAAATCGCATGTTTCTCAACACCGATTAGTAATTTCCTTACGTTCGCGTTATTTTCCATTTCTTTCATGTAAAGCGTCCATTACCGGCCATCGATACTGTTGGTGATTTTGTAAATGAGAAACTACTTTTTACCAATGTTTTCATTTTGTACAATTGTGAGCTTAGGCTGGAGTGGAGGTGAAATCAATACCTACCAGTTTAATGTAAGAAGAAACGGGAATATGCTTGATGCGGCCTAACCGACGACTGTGCCATGTCGTAATACACAAAGATATACCGTACTGCATCGGTTACGTGCCAATTTTGGCGCTATGGCCGGAAAAAAACTCGTTTACAGTCCGATATATCTCCGACTTGGCTTCCATTATTAGCGCACATTGATGGAAAAGTACCCTCCAGGTGGTATGGGAATGACAAATATTTGTCATGTGTTTTTTTCAATATCCTGATAGACATCGTAAGTAAACAAGGCATATTTGTGTAATATGTTAAAGAAATGCAAGTGTCTGTTTTTTGGATCCTCAGGAATTATCTGCGTTATATATTTCAGAGTTATTCTCCGGATCTATTAATTACCGCCGTCGTATGCAGGAAGCCATCTTGATAAGGGAGACAACCGATGACGAAGATTTAACCTTCGAAACAGGAAGTGGTATGGAGCTTACCGGAATTTCTAACAGAGAAGACCTGCAAACTGGAGTAGAGGGTGATTATTACGATTTACAACTGCATGTAAACATGTTTCAGCAATGCGGGACCGCCTCCGTGGTGTAGGGTGTAGAGTGTCTGCCCGGAGAGCGAAAGGGCAGTGGCTCAGACCCCTCCCGCGTCATACCAAAAGACGTTAAAGGATTGTCTGGTCCAGACTCGATTATTTACAGACCGCCGTCATATAGCTGGAATATTGCTGAGCTCGGCGTTAAACAACACACAAAACAAACAAATCTGAGTGGGGTATCTATTTTAAACTACGGCACGGTATCTCAGTGGACAAGCAATATAAACCGGCATTAGTCCGGATTAGCAGCCACACACAACAGCCACACACGCGCATGCACGTCGCTATTAAAGTGAATCTTTAACGCACCATTAAGCCCCAATGTAAATGTAAACCTTCCATAAACAATTAGGCACCTCAAGATTGAAATAGTGTCATCATGCTCACAGCAAACTTACGACATTGCACAAAGCCCACCGTAAACGTTACCATTTCGTCACCAAAGCTCAAGATCCCGGGGAAGAATAGGTTCCCAGTATGCCATGCTTTGGTAAGAGCCCTCTACAGAGGATTGGATGGTCTTACTCAGACTCTGTGCCCCTACTTGTTTATGCCTTCAGTCAATTTGTCTGATTCGGACGCGATTATTTACAGACCATTGTGATGTAGGTAAATATTCAGCGGCAACCAAAATTGACTCGCTCATCTACAGATATATAATAATAAGCTCCCAAAGGTACATGAACAAGAATGTGTACTTATTGAAGAAAATGTTAACCCAATTACAAGATATGTTTCATTTGACCACTTTTATCACCCCGGTTTGAAAAACGGGGGGATATAGCGATGTCCGTCCGTCGGTAAGCGTTTTGCTCTTCCGGAGCAGAACTCCAAAAACCGTTAAATATTTCTTGTTGAAACTTTCTATAAAGATCAGTCTTGTGGGGAACTGGTGCCTTTTGATGTATTTTATTTTGTTTCGTTTTCATGATTTTTCATGATGAAAACAAGTTGTTTTCCTCAGGAGTAGAACTCCAAATCCGTTAAATATTTCTTGATGAAACTTGCCATATGAATCAGTGTTGTGATGAACTGGTGCCTTTTGATGATTTGGTATTTTGTAAAAAATATTATTAACCCTGACAAGTTGGACTTATCCTGAAAATGGGGCGTTTCCGGAGCAGAAATCCAAAATCGTTGAATATTTCTGGATGAAACTTGCTGATCAGATCACCCTAGTGGTGAACTGGTGTCTTTTGATCATTTGGTGTTTTGAAAAATACTGAACAGCAACTCAGGTATCCAATGGCAATGAACCAAACGTGGGGTATAAGTAGCCAAGCTGCATTTCCGAATTCCTGACGACTCTTGTTAAAAATCATTGTCCAATCAAAGTCCATATTCGTTACACACAAACAATGTTTATTTATTTTGGCCTAAAATAGTTTCTTTGGTACAGTGATAAACGCCCTCTTCACTCTGTTAATGACTCGTCTTTCCTATTACCACGGTCACGCGCGCTGCTCTGATACTGTTACCCACGTGCCGGTGTGGCAGTACAGATTATAGCACAGGTCAGTTGGGTAATATAGTAATAGGGGATTCATGTCCCTCAGTCGTGGGATGGAACGTGTGGGTATACCACGTTCTTGAAGTTTCTATAACTTGTAATACCCACCAACACCTGCAAAGTCAGGGCTTTGTCCCGGATCACCACATATCCTATTTACTACGTATGTAGGATTACTTTGTTTAAACAGCTTTGTGTACCACCGGGAACCTCTGCCCCTGAAGATGGGGAACACAAACGCTACAAGCCCTCACGCAAGATCTATTATACACTCACGTCATTAATTCCGTAAATTATACCTCTTCTTCAAATGCGTCGTTTTTCAAATCATAGAAAATGATGTCTGTCCGATAGGCCTCGATGGTTTTGAAAAATACACGCCCACGATCCTATTGACTCGAGAGCTGATGTTGCAGCTATATTATGACTTAATGCTATTTCAAGCTGGCTATATAAATCCCATGTATGGCGCTCTCTGGTTGTAAATCGAAACTGCTATCTCTTATGCCACATGTATAGTCGCATGACGGTTAGGTTGTATTGTAGCCTGGCGCCACCGCACACCCGTCGAAGTTTAGCATCCTAAATCGGAGGAAATTGTGCTCATAACTGTGATGTTAATATGGAAAGCTATTTCGAGATGATTTATGAATTAGTTTTTTTGACGCATCGTTGCGTTACTCGTTTGAGTTTGGGTCCGGTAATTTCATCTTTGTGGAAATATATGCGATGATTGTCTGAGGGCAAATGATGTCCGCTCGGATATTAACTGTCGGAATATTTTATGTCATATGCGATATTGCCGTGTTTGATCAGAGAATATATGATTGTGTTTGTCGAGAAAATCTCGATTAATATGAGAAAAAAAAAATCTGCATGTTCCTCTATTACAGTTACACTCATAGAGATGCTTGCTGTTGACTGATATGTAACTATAAAATACGATAATATCGCTCATATCTCGGGAAACAATTCGCCTTTGTTAGCCATCAAATCAAACTGTTATTCATCAAATGATTTAGTTATGCTCTTTATACAACATGGGCTGTAGTAAGCTTCAAAGAAATGGCGGGAGGTGTGGGTGTGTGTATAATGTTCCATAACTCTCTCTCTATATATATATTCACACATATTACACCACTTTTCTGGCAGCCAAATATACAATCACACTTTTCGCACTTCTGTAAGCCAAATATATATTTATTGCACAGATCGTGTTTCTGTAAGCCAAATGTACAATTAAACAGATCGTGTTTCTGTAAGCCAAGTATACATTTATGGCACAGATTTATGGCTAGGCTCGTGTTTTTAAGCCAAATATATATTTATGGCACAGATCGTGTTTTATCTAAATGTACAATTACACATATCGTGTTTCTGTAAGCCAAATATATATTTTTGGCACAATTCGTGCTTCTGTAATCTAAATGTACATTTTGACAGATCGTGTTTCTGTAAGCAACACATGCGTTTATTGCACAGAATGTGATTCTGTAAGCTCAATATACATTTATTGCACAGATCTTGTTTCCGAAAGCCAAATATACATTTATTGCACATATCGTGATTCTTTAAGCGTAAAATACATTTACTGCACAGATCTTGTTTTTGTAAGCAGCATATACATTTATTGTGCAGATCGTGATCATGTAAGCTCAATATACATGTATAACACATGTACAGATCGTGTTTCTGTAATCTAAATGTACAATTAGACAGGCCTTGTTTCTGTTAGCAACACATGCATTTATTGCACATATCGTTATTCTGTACGCCACATATCCATTTACTGCCCAAATATTGTTTCTTTAAGCCACATATACATTTTTTGCGCAGATCGTGTTTCTTTAATCTAAATGTACAATTAGACAGGCCTTGTTTCTGTTAGCAACACATGCATTTATTGCACATATCGTTATTCTGTACGCCACATATCCATTTACTGCCCAAATGATGTTTCTTTAAGCCACATATACATTTTTTGCACAGATCGTGTTTCTTTAATCTAAATGTACAATTAGACAGGCCTTGTTTCTGTTAGCAATACATGCATTTATTGCAAAGATCGTGTTTCTGTAAGCTCAATACACAATCTGACCGATCATGTTGCATGTACGAGGGGTGCTTGAATAGTTCTCGGCCTGACTTTGATGGACTGCGTTGATGGAGTTGGTTGCAAAGTATTCTTCAACATACTCCCCTCCGAGGTCCCCACACACACACCCTTCTGCCAACGATGCTGGGGTGCCTGGACCGCTCTAGGGGTAGAGGGCTTCCTCTTGGCCACGTTAAGGGTCACCCACAGCTTCATCATTTCCATAACGCTTGCCAGACAGTTTCCTCTTCGGGTCTGGGTTGGCTGGTTGTTGTTTAACGCCGCACTCAGCAATATTCCAGCTATATGGCGGCGGTCTGGAACAGACAATCCAGTGATTGATATCATGAACATCGATCTACGTAACTGACATACGATGACATGCATCAACCAAGTCAGCGAGTCTGACCACCCGATCCCGTTAGTCGCTTCTTACGACAAGCATAGAAGTCTTTTACGGTATGCATGGACTGCTGAAGACCTATTCTACACCGTTCGGGTTTGGGAAGAGGTGGAAATCTGACGGTGCCAAATATGGGAAAGTGGGGGATGTTCAATGAGTTCAAAGGTGCACTCATTCTTTGAAGCAATTTTGACAACAGTCCTTTGCTGGAGGAACAACATACCTTAAGTGAGTTTACCACGACGTTTAGCCTTGATATTCACACATTTGCCTTAGTAGATTAGCTTAATGACATGACAAACGGGATCGCGCGGTCAGGCTCGCTGACTTGGTTGATGCATGTCCTCGATCCCAATTGCGTGGAGCGATGCTCATGATGTCAATCACTGGATTGTCTGTTCCAGACTCGATTATTTACAGACCGCCGTCATATAGCTAGAACGTTGCTGAGTGCCGCGTTAAACAGCAAACAAACAAGGAAAACAAACATAAATAAGCCACTTAATGGTGTGACCTTTCGGGAGGTAGTCCACCTTTGGAATCACAGAATTACGAAGCCATCACCTTGCCAGCTGATGTAACAGACTTTGCCGTTTTCCTCTTCGGAGATGCTTCCACTGCTTTGACTGTTAACTCTGGGTGATAGTGTTGAACCCACCCATGGTTACAAGCCGCCTCTACACACCTGGTTCTGCGTCAAAACGACGAACATTCTCATATGAGATGTTGAACCTGGTTGATGAACCAACGAACCATTGTCATGCCCAGTTCTTTTCCATTTCATTCCGTAGAATGCTCTTATGTATTGGCTGTGACTTGTGGTGATTCGTCGATTATACATAATCATTTCATGTATTTTATTAACATTTTCCTCAGCGATGGCAGTTGAAGATCTTCCTGATCTTTGATCATATTCAAAGGTTCTAAACTGTGACAAAGGAAGGTACATCGTCCCCTTAAGTTGATCCAGGGCCGCATGGGTGGTTGTTGGAGTTAGTCCTTTCAAATGGAGATACTGTATGAGAGCGGTTGTCAATTTTGTCCATTTCCATCAACAGAAACTACCTTGTCTCTTTCATGACTGCATACATATTATACTTAGTTGTGTTCAGATGCAGCCGACTGCCTCCGTGGTCTAGTGGTAGAGTGTCCGCCCGGAGAGCGGAAGGTCGGGGGTTCTTACCCTGCACGAAGGGACTAAAACAAGGACTGGTCGGCTCGGAGTCAGTATACTGTGTCTGAGTCGGGTATTCATGTTAAACTGCGACATGGGATCTTAGTGGGCTAGCTCTATAAACTCGGCATTTAGTCCGCACGCGCACGCACACACACACACACACACACACACACACACACACACACACACACACACACGCGCGCGCGCGCGCGCGCCCCTATATAAGTGCAATAATCTTGAACGCGACGTTAAACCCCATTTTACCTCATCTCAAATGCAGCCTGTAAGCATTGTACTACTTCATACAGTCCTGCATTGTAACCTAGGCTTATGGCCTATACTACATGATGAATAAACAGATTTAGGAATACATGCAAACTGTGAAAGGTGTAAATCCTTGGTAGTTAGGTTGAGAACTTTTCAGTCACCAGCTGTCTTAAAGTGGCTGGTGAATACGCATGTCTGGACCATGTAAACCAGCGACTCAAAACACAAATAACCTTTCATCACATCCTTGGAAGCAGATACACTTGACAATACCTAGTTGTCTCGAAAGCATCCCTAGTTGACTTAGCTGTCTCGAAAGCATCCCACAGAACTACAAAAAATCGATAGACACAATCTTAAACTCGCTTTGTGCCGAATGTTTCCGTGATCCCAACAACCCGAGTTCTTTGTATAACTACTTAAGTGTTCTATGTCAAAATGAAAGCAAACTGTCTTTTCTTACACAAGGATGTCCCTAAGACAATTCGCACGGTGAGAAGCCCATAACATCCCATGTGTTTGGCGACAGGTATTTGAATAATACCGCTTGATATGGACCACGTGTGGGATATGATGGCACGCAGTTTCTCCCATATTTGTGCGAAAGGTTACCTCCCTTGAGTGGCGGTGTCAGCCGGATGAAAGGTCAGTGTTATGATGACCTTACCGGCAAGGTGACCCGCTGTCAGATTCCTGTGTCAGAGACCCAACCGCCTTCCCCTCTTACCCATTGCCACGCATAGATATCTACACGGGGGGATTCCCATTTCCTTACACCTGTCAATCACGCCAGTCATGGCGGATCAAGGGCGAAGTTCATGCACGTAAATAAACCCGAGTTCAAATTCTGCTTGAACCTTCACACCACCGTCCCTTTATATAACTGACAGCATTTCCCGGTGATCCCAATTACCGAACTGTGTCGTGTCTTTTGTTCACTTTAAAAAAACCGCGCTGGCTACAATGTTTGTTGAACAATGTGTTCCAAAAGAGGTAGGTTTATTGGCATCAAAGAAATATTTGAAGTTCTCGAAAACATCTAAAAATACTCCAGAGAGCAATGAACAGAGGCATCAGGCGTGCAAATCGTAAGTGTTAGTGAGTTCCCATGAACAAGAGATTTGGACAATTTGAAATAAATAAACCGCCATCAACATCTTCCCGAGGCAAGGGAGTTAACTGACTGACAGTTTCCACTTGCATGGTCAATTAACTCCCTTGCCTCGGGAAGATGACCTTCACTGTCTTAAATTGTTTCAATCCCCCATGTGTGATGATCGGGTGGTTATTATGTGTAAGCATCTGATTATGTCATCTGGCCTTGGAGGCGTATATCTTTGCTTATGATTTCAACCACTGGTTTGTCTGGCCAGGACTTGATTACCTGCAAGCCGCCGTGATATCACCGGCCGTGGAATAGCCTTGAATATGACGTAATTATTGCAACATTCACTCAAAGTATCCATTGGGCGTAAAAGGTAAAATAGCCATGAACACCAGGTGTTCGCGAAAACATAAGATGAAGTACTTTGATATCCTGAGAATTTTTCACCGCATCATAACTTACTCAACAGCAAAAACGAAGAGTAACCTCAAACATACATAACATAAACAATTTCGTCGTTGGTGTTCCACTTTCATTGTTTTTCACTCTGAAATATTGTTGTGATTCCAAGTGGTAAAGAGGACTGGAAGAACATGTTTGTTCTTGTGTTCTTGTTTGTTCTTGCATCCGGCACACGCAGTCAGCACTCAGAAGGTAGACCTGTGAAGATCCGGGTAGGAACAGGTCTTCAGTAACCCATGCTTGCCCTAAGAGGCGACTCAACGGGATCAGGTGGTCAGGCTCGCTGACATGGTTGATGCATGTCATCGTATCCCAATTGCGTAGATCGACGCTCATGATATCAATCACTTGATTGTCTGCTCCAAACTCCCATTATTTATAGACCGCCGTCATCCACCTGGAATATTGCTGAGTGCGGCGTTAAACAACTTACACTCAGAAGGTGATAAGACACGACCTGTGGTTTTTTGACAATTTGTATTTCATAACAGTTGCTGAGATAAGTTAGAAATGAGGTCGAGTGTCAGTAGTTTAGAACTCATAAAGGGATCTAAACTCCGTCAGTTTCAGATATGAACAAGTGATACCCTATGTGAGTAACCAGTTAATTGCAATAAAGCGTTGAAAGACGCTCCAGTAAAATATGTGAGAAACACGAGATTTGAAACTTCAAGGATTTAAGTTGTGCAGGAGGTACATGTCAGACTTCCCCTTAGAATATGGTGCAGAAATTCGTGGCCAATCTTTGATATGAAGATAATACTTTCCAGCTTTAATGCAATAGAAGTCAACTAAAATGACAGCTGTAGTTCTATTTCCGTAACCCGCACTGTAGAAGAGATTCAAAAATCAGACACGAAGCACCACAACGAAAGAGTGGCAGCATAATTCAAGCTGATGTAATGCTGCGGGCCCTATGGTTAATTCGTATCACTTCCACATAAGTGTTTGGTGGAGATAGTGAGGGAGTAGCCCCAATAAAGCAACACAGTTTAAGACTCCGGGCTAAAGTATCAGAGTTACTAAGTACATGGGTTATGCCAAAGGGTATATGTGATAGCTGTAAAGCTTGAGGGTCAATCAGGCATTAAGCCAGGACATTCAGGCACACTTGATTCTGGAACAGGAAGAATCCATTGAAGGCTCAGACTGTAGAGAGATAGCGTCCTCTTAGACGTCGTCGACGTTGTCTGCTTCGTTTGAGACCAATCAGGCGCGAGGACAGGGAGCAAATGTGGAATGTTAAACAACTATTTTCAGAAGCAAATATGCTATAAGAAGCTTAGATAGATTAAGGAACACGCTCGCCTAAACTAACGTTTTAATGTGGGCCTCTGTGTTCAATGTAACAGGACGTATACTATTATTATGGCGTGAAATTCACCTTGTGTGGAAGTACATGGTGAGTGGGCCAGGGATGTTAGAGTTATGAAATGCCCAATAGCATCAACTGAGTCAAGGCTGGGATTCGTTTCCTGTTTACTTGACATACCAGTTCCGTTAAATTTACTTTTACTGAGGTTTTAGATTATCCTATCAAAACCTTCCGGGTTTCGGGGTTTGGTATGGCGCTCGATGTACCAGCCTTAACCGATATTGCCTAGATATATGTGGTGCTTTGCTCAAAGTGCCAGTATGGTTATGTGAAATGTACTGGATATCTGACTTTAGGTGTAAGATTATGTTTGATGATAATATTTTGCAGATGTATACTACTCCACTTTCGATGGGGATAGATTTATCTTTCCATGATTCTCAAAACTTATTCTCACAATATGTCAAGTGTATATTAAGATATATCTGAAATCTGATAATCCCTATCGAAAGTTTAGTAGTACATGTACATATTTGACCCACAAAGCACTCCACGTGCCGAATATTGATTTTAAAACTGTTCTTGCGTATAACATTTATTCCCATAAACATTTCACAATATAAACTCCCTGTGTGTGTGTGTTAAAGACAGGTTAGGATCAAGGGTAATGCGTCTCTAAGGTTCTAGTGATCACCGCAGTCACTATTGATCCCGTTGACATAAGAGACACGTCAAAGCCTCATGACATATAATGTTATCGTGTAATGGCATTCATATAATTAATCGTCCAGAATTAGAAAAATCCCGAGGTACCTTAGGAGATATTTTCTCACCACCCTTGACCCGAAACACCACTTTTTGAGTGGAGCGTTTTTAGTTTCAGTATTGGGAAACGTATACCATTATCAAGGTTCGGAAGTAGGTCTTATGGTATAGTGTGGGCATCCCTATACTTCGAGATAGCCTGGTTTGTTTACATGTTGGACATTCCATGCCCCAGCTGTGACAGGGTCAGTTGCATGATCCCTCGAATCCTGATATTTTGAGTTGTTTCAAGTTAAATTCTAAGTATGTTTAGGATCCAAAGAAGTTTAAAATCTAAACATGATTGAATCATAACTGGTTCCTTTCTCACCATATTTGAAACCTAAAAATATAAATGTCTAAATATGAACTTTTTTACGAAGGCTAAACATGTTTGAAATCTGAAAAAATAATAACTAAACATGTTTGAAACCGAGTTTGGCCCGCCTTATTTAGCCTGACTATTCCTACGGCGGAGTTTAACAAAATTAATTCATTCAGGTTTGATTTTAACTTACTCGACGTTCGTTATGATGTAAATAACGTATCTAGCTTTCCTTTGCAGATGTCGTGGAAGTCAAAGTCGACTGCTGTGATGTTGGCAGGATAGCGGCGCGGAATGGCATGCATTGTCACGCCAAGATCCATGCCGCACTACTGGACCACGCCAACCGCACACGTGACTACCATCGACGTGTTCGTCTGCCCGTCCAACATCACCAACAGGTGTCTCTGCCGTTCCGATCCTTTAACATGTGCATACATAACCGTGGGTTGGAGTTCTATAAATGTTGTCATGCTGGTAAGACCGACCCGAGGGGGAGAAGGACAAGCTATAGACCGTCCAGGCCTAGATATCGCCCCCCAAGACGGTACCAGTTTGACAGACGGCCATATTCAAGAGGTTAACAAATGGTGGCAAGGGACGTTACTCTAGCATGGCTGACGTTCCTCGTGGCATCTTACACTTCATGTCTCGCCACCAACCGGACAGGCATGACCAGATTTCTTCCTCGATCAGGGCCGGACAACATCACCTCCCTTACGCAGACGTGTTCTTCTGCCAGTGTTCTTCAATGTGTGCACTTCCGGAACAGAAGGACAAAGAATGTGCCACCGTCTTTCCTTGGAGGAGTGATACTTCTCTAGATTATTTGATGCTGACTCAGGGTGCGACCTCCATTAATTGACCGAAATGTGCTTTGGAGGTGGACGCTTTCATGTTCTTGTGTTACCAAATGACAGGTCATGGACAGGGTGTTTAGTGTGTTCTGGATGATTGAGAACGGTATTTACTGGTATAGACCATTTGCTCTGGGAGTGAGCTAACCCAGTTCGGGACAGGACGCTCACAGTCCCTCTGTTGCATTCCTGCAATGTCAATACTCTGTAATACTGCCCGTTCTACAAAGCTATCTTAGCTCTACGACTGTCGTATATCTATGTTAAAGTAATGATAGTCTTTGTGAAAAAGGGTCATGGCCTTCTTGCACAAAGCAAGCTTAGACTGTTCTAAGTCTGTGTTTAAGTATTGGAGTTATGATGGTCTTAGCGCTAAGATTGTTTGTGAATGCGGGCCCAGGTCCAAAACGCATCCTTTAACAGCTACTGCCATTCGGAATCTTCTCATCGCGTCTCTAATCTGGATGTATTTATATGAGCGGGCAGATGCTGTCAGCGCTCTCCGATTATTGAGGTGTTTAAACATTGGTTTCCAAGTGGCGGGTACTACTAACACTGACGATGGGCTCTCGCTCTAAGCAAAGAATGTTAACCTCTCCCTCCTCCTTTTAAGTCATGTGGCTACCCGCAAAAAAGGTTAATTTTCTAGCTAAATGAATTTTTAAGACTTGGTACAATCCTTATACCTGAGGACAATTTAAACTCCCCTAAATTGTATGAAGTGGTCTCTCTCTAAGGTCTCGTCACACCCCTACACTTGAAACTCAAGCCTCTGAAAGTTCAGATTTTACCTCCTTAAAACTAAAATATGCATGGGATCATTTTCTGCGTATTTATTGCGTGGACAATTTCTTAATGATACTCATAGCTGTAGATCGTCAACTGTTTTGTAATGATGACCCCCTACGACGTTCCATTCAAATTTGTGGCTTTTGTGTGTGTGTTAAATCTTACGTCTGTCCTGTGACGGTCAACGTAGTGTTTGTTTCTTCAAAACGAAATAAGCTGCACAGGATGACCCTTTTCATAATAGTGGAAGATTAACTTGACCAAAGAGCGCAAACTGTCTCTTCAGATATAAGAACATGCCCGATTATCCAGTGTATTTTATTTTTATGCAACTTAAATAAAACCTAGGACCCATTCGCTACCATGGCTTCGTCCCGAAGCTGATTCGAATAACATGACGCTAAAAATAGCCGTCCAATCAAATCACTCCAACGGGCGAGAGACATTCTGTGCTACGTTACGAGAAATGGAAATAGTAAGGTTACTTCCAAAGCGAAACGCTGACTAATGGGACTATAATATTAGAGGGGAAATATCGTACCCTGTATATTCAGGAAGAGTCAAGGACGTTGTTTCACATTATTTTGTATTGCGGGAACCGCACTTCACTCAATCCGAGAGCCTGTTCCGTATTCCTTAATTCTTTTTTACATTCTTCTTACACTGTTACTCGTACATAACAGAAAAACACCTTTATTTTTAATTTATGGCGCAACATTATGGTTTAATACACAGGGTCATTTGCTGGTGTCTTTTTTACAATGCTAATCAATGCAAAATGACACATACTTTCCCGGTGATATTCGTGTCTCTTTCCTCCCCGACTGGATCCGTTCGTCGCCTCTTGTATCATTCCGGAACAAGCCAATGACTTTCTTGTACGGAACGGGCGAGTGGTGACGGATGTTCCCGAATGGATCCGACAAGGAGCACGGGTCGTTCTATACAGGTGGTATGCATGAGCGAATGAGTGAGGCAGTGTTCTGAGGTCTCGGTGGCATTCGTGACCACTCGTGTCATTCCGGGATATACGCAGGTCACGGAAAGTTGCGAGTGGTGACGAACGGTGTCGGTGGGTACAGGGTGTGTATGTGTGTTTGTGGGTTTTAATTACATATAGAGTCGTGTCATTGACAAGGCAGCTTTATTTTAGAAGTATTCATTTTTATCATGATTGTTGCACGTTCTTATTTTTAACGTGGCGTCTTTCGATGTGTGAATAAAGTATAGCTTTTGACATTAATGGGGACTTGGCCCCGAGAAAATGGCAGCCCTAGCAAGAACCACTCTTGTTTATGTGCTTGCTCGAATTGTATGATGTGAATTAATATAAGTCTAAAACACAAACACAATGTCACAATTTAATACAGGGCACTAGGTGCAACGTTTTCGCCTTGACTGTAAATGGGCACCTCTTGAAGGTAGACATTGAGTTATTCCCAAGGGCTGTAAGACTTGACCTAAATACATGGAATTCCCTTTCCTTTCTACGCACACCACCAAGGCAATAACTACCATTTAGGACTTACTATAGAAAAAAAACAGTGACGCTAAAATAGCACGGTAATGTAAGCTTCGATTTGGGATACAGCATTAGAATAGTTCGTTAAACCTCTGCTATAGGTACCCTTTTCACACATCTACAGTTTCCGAGTAACTTTTTTGTTTATATGTTATTGTAATTGATATTTTTACTTAAGTATATCTTTTACACCGCTCATTTTCACCCGATGAACAATGCATTGAGCTGCACAGATAATGTGTTGTCCAAACACAGCTATAGTTTGGGTATACTGTCGACTTTTTCCTTTCAAGTTGGAATACTAGAACTGTTTTAAAGAAGGTATGTAGTATACAAAAAAAATAAGATAAAGAAAACCCGATTCTTTCATATTGATTATTAGTTAATCTGTCATGGAATCGGGTGTTCTTTAATTTCTTTTGGGTAGTAAATGTTGATAAATATGACGATGTTGCCACAAAGTGACAAACAAGTTTTCTGTGCATTCGATTGAATGTAATTGTAAAATCGTAATTTGAGGACGAAATATTTTTTGTTGTCTCCTATTTTTTCACATGTTATTCTTTTCTTTAAAGTTATATATTTAAGAGGTAAGTCGTTTAAACGCTTTAAATGAGCATGGGGACATGATTGTCATCGTAATGAAAACGACTGAATTAGTACTGATTTTGTCTTTCTTTTATAACGGGCGACGAATTTACTTTTATTTAACAAAGAACGTACTAAAATAGACTGACCCACACTTAGTGCTGGTGTACTGATGATCTTGTTTGATCACTGTGATTGAATTCAGAATGGGGAATTATGAATACTCAATGGTATGGTCGTATTTCAAATTTTTCTTGTTAGAAATCAGTGCTGCGACTTGTCTTTGATGTATGTCTTAATTGTATTTGAAAATGAATTAAAGATGAACTGGCTTTATTGATCTGGTTTGATTATTTCCGTAAGTGTTCATCATACTCTACCTTTAATTGTAGTCGGTGGGAAACGCCCAAGGTCCAGGTTTGATTTCCCACATGGGTACAATGTGAAACCCGTTTTTATGTCACCGCCGTGATATTGCTGGAATGTTGCTAAATGTAGAGTAAAACTATACTCGCTCGCTTAACTGACGTGTTCGGGAGTTGGACTTTCCATGGGTCTCTGTTGATTCAGATGTTTCAGTGAGTGAATGTTGTTTACGCCTGCGGGCGCACACTGTAACAACTCGATTATTAACTGGGGACATTTCCTGCTTTAGAATATTAACGAGTTATTACTACAACGGAATCCCCGTTAATCCAGACGTCAGCTTTTCGGCTGAAATCATCCAGAGGAACACATGTCTGGATTATCGACCAGTGGAACTTTGTATATACGTATGCGTTTCCAGCATTAATTTTTCGGTTTTACGAAATTTTATTGCATGTGTTAAGAGCGTGTTAGTGAGTATTAAGGTTTTATCGTGAGATCATTACAGGTATATTGGATATATAGGTCTTCAAGAAAGTGCGGCGTTGACGACAACGAGAATGTATCAACGTCAGTACGACTTATTCTCAGCCGCCATTGTTAAACAGTCGATCCCCTTTCATTGGCTCTATCGACCATCATCATTGCCTCGAGTTGCTTTCCTTCGGCGTGTCAGAAAGCCATGAGCGTGCGTTCGAATCCTGTTGTTAGGTTTGTTTGCACCATGCCCGGGGATGCATCACTTTTCTCCCACATCAAGCTGACACGCCGTGATAAACTGAACTACATTTGAAAACGGCGTTAAAACAAAGTCACTAAATGTGCCTCCGTAACGGTTAAGGAGTTCAGTGAGTGAGTATGGTTTTTAGCAATATTCCAGCAATATCACGGCGGGGGACACCAGAAATGGGCTTCACACATTGATTATGTTTCTAGGTTTGTCAGCACCATACCCGTGCTCGTTGGTTTCACCGAAGTGGTATAAGACCTGCATCACTTCGGGCTTTCCTCCCACATTAAGCTGACACGCCACGATATAACTTGAATACTGTTAAAAGCGGCGTTATAAACCCAACTGACTCACTCACTTTAACCACTAGGCTACCCGACCACCCCTAAGGAGTTCAGAGCGGCAGGGGGTATTGCGATTTGAATTGGTTCTATCTGACAACTTTAAAGAGAAACGCCTCCTTTATCTGTGTGTCTGCGTCTCCGGATCCGATATGAGTAGTTACGAATCCAACATTCGTCCAATCATAATCCTGTATCTGAGCTAGCTTTTTCTCCCCTTTTTAATGTCCGCTAAATGTCAGCAAAAACGCTCCCCAGAATCATAAAGAAATCGGGCTTGGCTCATCGAGAATAAACTAGGATCGAACCCACGCAAGGCTGAATAATGATGTTTTATATCGAACCACAGTTGGGAAGGAAGGAAGGATTTGGAAACATTGTCAGTCGTTCACCCCAAATACCAGCGTTCAAGATAATAATGATAATGTCTCTACTAAGGAAAGCATGTATTTACAAACGAGTCTTGGTGACCTATTTACTGTTATGCTCATCCGTATCAGATTGTGCATTAAGATGAAGACAGCGCAGGTATTTATGTACTTTGGTATCAAGAAATTAGTTGTAACACCTCAGATTTTGTTCCAGGTTCCACATAGATCAGCGATACGGAGAGTCAGTCATATGGATGCTATCAGAAGCGTACTCTTAATGGCATGTAATGTGTTTTCTAAATGTGAGTCTAAAAACGCCAAGTGTGATGATTTGCTGTGATCATATACTTTGCAGTACATGTAATTGATATATAACATGTGAGAAGATGTCGAGTAGAAGATTTATGACCAACACATCCCTGGGCAAACGCTTAACATGATAGCATTGGAAGTTTTGGGCATCCGGCATCAGAAGTTTACCATGATTCCAACATGTGTTGAATTTCCAGTGCGTTTTAGATGAATATCGGTTATAAAATGGATATTGTTATTTATCAATCAAAAACTAACCCCCATAAGAGATATCGCTTTGGGGAGGCCAAACGATCTCTTCCAGAGGATGTCCCCACAATGCTTTGCAGACCATTGTAATGTCATCGCTTACGATGTCGTCACAGTCAGATGACATCACTGTCGCTGATGTTAGCTCGATGTCGAATGTTAGCTCAACCATCCCCGGATATTTGTAACCCACGAGTCGTTTCGGTGCCGTAGTATTCGATGTGTAAGTTTGGTTTAACAGTACTTCAGTAATATTCCGGCCTGTCCGCTCGATAGAGGAGGATAGTTCGAGGTGATACAAGTCTTAGACGTTCAACATTATGAATAAAACACAGATTTGTAAGTCACTCATTGTTGTGAGATCCTTGACACAAGGGACGCAACTCTGCACAACGATTGAGCACCCCGTGACCCACATTTGATGACGGAGGTTTCGAGGCCGCATAAAGTGTAATTGAATCGAGCTTTAAACATTCTTTCTTTAAGAATACTTTTTCTTTCTGTTAAGGCCGCATTTGGTTTTATTCAAGCTACATGACGGTGGCTTGCAAATAATCAAACAGGACCAGACAAAACAGTGATGAGACACAAGTAGGTCATCATGCTTTTAACCACTGGTTTGTCTGGCACAGATTCGAATTACTACAGCCCCTCGAGGATTAGCTGCGAAATTGCACATTGCGCCATAAAACAACACTCACTCACTCACACGATTACCGTAGTGTCTGTTCCAAGTTCACGAGACCTCGCTTCAGTGAGGAAAACCTGTAAGTGGCAGAGAACGTGCTGGATGCGGTGTAAATGCCATGTGCAGTATCAGTAATGACACGGTATGTTGTTATTTACATAGGAGGTCGGAGATGTTCCATCTCTTTACAAACTGCCAAGTCAGTAGCCTCGAGCAGCCAAAAGTCCCGAAAGAAACAGATATTACTGAAACAACCCGTTGTATGCCCGAGCTTCTGTTGCATCGCTTGGCTGTTGATGAAAGACAGACACTGAGATGCTAGGCTATGGTGCTGTAGATAAGTGTTCGTCTGTCGACGCTACATAGACTCTCATCTTCAATAGGCACATTGTCAGCTTTCCGTAGCGTCCCTTGCAATGTTCCAAGATTACCATTCCGGTATTCGATCGCGAACACTCAAGCTGATCCGGAGCCTTTGCCAAAAAGGACAGCATTTTGTTTAATTTCTCGTAAAGCACCGCTGTTTTCGAAATTACATAACTAGATTTTTTTTCACGGTAGTGTCTTAAGTGATGTATTTGGAGTCTGTATCTAGGGATAGATTAATCTTTGACATCAAGCATAGTTTAATACAGTTTGCCAATTCGCTGTGAAGAGTTGCGTCTGTGACAGGATTTGCTGGTCGTGAGTTCGATTCACACATCACCCCGTGTTGTGATTTGATCTGTCAGCGCCAAAGTGTGTTTGGTGGTTTCAACAAGGCGGCCTTCCCTCATTGTTTTGGTACGCCGTGATATAGCCACAAATTAATGTTCTAAGCAGCGTAAGTCCATGTTGGTCTGCATTGCGAATATTTAAACTTTAACTACCAAGACAGGTCATCCAAAATATGTATTACTTATTTTAATTGTCCAACTGAAAAAGGGGTTGAGTATCCTTTTTTGACGCGGGTTCACTTATGAACAACAGCACCTTACATGAAAATCATTCACCGTCTTACCATATTATCATCTTCCCTAGGCAAGGGAGTTAACTGTCTGTAAAAGTTCGGTTTCCACCCTTGCCGAACTAGGCTCGATCGTAGCGACACCAGTGGCTATTATGAGTTATGTCCCTTCTATGTCCCACATTTCACCTCATATATAACTTGCATCTGCTTCAAACAAAATGGCAACGCCAAGTCATGTCGATCTGAATGATAATCAAGATCTTTATTGTTAAAAAACGGGTCTTACCTCGCGAAGTGCTATAAATCACTTAAGCACCTTGATTTAAACATGAAAAGATTTGGAAAATATCTGTCGACGCCCATTTGCCAAAATCTGCGTGGAGGTCGCCATGTTGTTTACGAACCGGATGTCCATTTCGTCACGCGATTTTGATTGGACTATGCGCAGACTCGTTAGTCCAGCCGAAATATAACTCCTTAATTCGAGACTAGTTCGGCAAGGGTGGAAACTAGACTTTATTGTCAGTTCACTCCCTTGCCTCAGGAAGATGACACATTTTTAGTAATAATCTTTCACTTTTTAAAATAGCGGATAAGAAATGATCAACACGAATTTGGTATTTTTAAGCGAAAAAATAAGTTGTGCCAGATTGCTGGAAATAAATATAGATGCTTCATACTGTGGTAATTGTCTACCACAAAAATGACGTTGTTGCAAGGTGTTTTTTTTAAGAAAAAATATTTATGCTGATTGTTTTTATTAAAAGTACCTGGTTTTGCAGCTGTAGCTGAATATTATCTAGCCTCCATACAAAATGCCGGTACCCATTCGAAACACACGTCAGGTTCTAGGTTTTACTGTACCATATCCGTGAACGTGGCGCTCACTAAAATGGTAAACGTTTACAACCACGCCGTCATATAGCTGAGACAGATATTCCTCAGAGCGGCGTAAAACTCCTTTTATAAACAACACACAAACACACAAATTCAACTCGTCTCCTCTCTCCTCAATAAAGCTGTACACGCCATGTTAAATACATTGTTTTGTCTAAGAAGCCAGATCAGGCCATTGGTCAACTCAGTTTAAAGCAAAACCGAATCTAGTCAACAGACTTAAATACAATTTTGGGTATGAACTATTTGTAAACATACCTGCGTTCTTTGCATCTGGACTGATAAAAGGTCACTTGACATCCGCTCAAATCAAAATTTCATATTTTTATATCTAATCGATCTAACTTCGAGAAAATAGAAAACCTGCATCATCACGTGCCCATAGGATATCTGTGTCAAATATATAAAAAAAATTATGAAATGTACTTTTTTTCAATGCGTACTGAATAAT